CTGCACCTCCCCCCCTTTATGCATTCTGATTATTGTGAAGGTTTTATGGTACCTTTTTGGTGTTCAGCTGCTATTTTCTAGTTTAATTTAATTTTGTTCACTTATTGATTTTATAAGTTGTTTTAAGCGCTCACTTGTCTTGAGATTTACCATCCCTTAAACACACCTGCAATCAGCCTCAGGTGTTTTGGCTGACTGCAGGGTTGAGTCTCTGATTGCTGAGAGCACCCGCTGGCCAGCCCTGGTACTGCAGCCCACAAGGCAGGTGAGCCCTGTGGTGAGTCATTCCTGACAGCGTGTGGAGAGGCTGTGTTGGACTGTGCTCTGCAGAGCTCCAGGTGTAGGCCTGAAGTCAGGCTCTAGAGTTCGGTGCTCTACTGAGAACCATGCAGGATCCTGGGGTAGGCCCAGGAGGGGACCCGGGTGGAGGTCCGGGGGGTAGTCTTGTCAAGACTTCAGACGGCGTTTCCCATGCTAGCTGTGGTACTCCCCCCCAGTACCAGTGTTTGAGGACTTAGGCAGTGGCCCAAAAAAGGGTGAGCCTGTGTCAGTTTATAGGAGCAAAGTTGCTGCCAGAATTTTGCGGATTGCAAAAGAGGAGGAGAAGCTGGCCAAGCTCCGGATGGAATATAGGAAGAAAAAAGGGGTCTGGGAGAGGGCCTGGAGCAACAAGCGTTCATTGCATCGACCGGAGGTCAACAGCTTGGAAGATAAAGTAAAAAGCCAAGCGCTGCTTGTTGCAGCATTAAAGGAGACGAGCGGCAGTTTCAAGGAGAAATATGCCAGTGAGACCAGTTTCATGGCGATGAGGAAGGATGTCAAATTGACTGCAGATGAGGATATCGCTCCATCCCACTCTGGGGATTCTATGGATATCACTGAGGAGGAGGCAAGCCAGCAGGCTGGAAAATGTTTGCAACAGAGTGGGGCTGCGGCGGTGTCAGTCCCCCTGGAGGACGGATCACAGCTTCTTACCCCTGGTCAGGTAACCCAGGAGTGGGGGAGAGGATGACCAGGATGACTGTGCAGGGGCTTTGCAGGTGATACGAGAGCTGGAATCTCCTTTGAGTGGGAGAAAGTTCAGGTTTACAGAGAACTTGTCTGAAGAGGAGGGAGCAGAGGAAGATGGAGTCCCAAGGAAAGCCCGGGTAAGGGTTAAGGAAGAGACTGTGTATAGACTCCAGCATGCTGCAGGGGGAGGTGCTGTTACACAGGTGCACGCCGAGGTGCATGCTGAGCTGGGTGGGTCCGCAACCGGATTGTCAGCTCCTGCGGCCGGGACTGGTATGTGTAAAACTCTGTGTGCTGTTGAGTCATCTGCCGGGACTGGTGTGAGTAAACCTGTATGTGCTACTGTGTCATCTATGGGAGTGGGAGCAGCCGGTCCCCTCCGGGCCGCTGATAGTGCACTGTCTGTGCCCGTGTCTGGTCTCCCCGTGCCGGCGGGAGGGAGTGCGGGGGGGGGGGGGGGTGGAGCCTGCTGTGGTGTCGGGTGCAGGTCTCGCTGTTGCCGGGCAAGCCGAGGGCTTATCGGTGTTTACTGGAACTGCTGCAGCGGCCGTGGGGGTAGATCCTCGGTTGCGGAGGTGAAACTCCTTCTTAGGAAGCATCAGTACGACCGGCACGCTTCTTTGGTTCTGGAGAGGGATTACGGGAAATATCACTCGCCTGACCCTTACCAGAATAGCAGACAAAGCGCAGCGATTAAAATGGTCTTAGGCCTGAGAGATAGTACAGGTTCCCTGACAAAATCCAGGTCAGGGATTCTAGAGGTCTCGAGGTCCTTTTATAGAGATCTTCTAGAGAAGAAGCACCTCCACCGGGAGAGGATGTAAAGTTTTCTGGACTCTACACCGGGTCTGGGGAGTGACGTCCCGCTTCCAAGTTTGATGGACGAGATAACAGAGGCAGAGGTAGCCAAAGCCATAGACAGTCTGGCAATTAAGAAAACACCTGGGCCAGATGGTTTGATGGCAGAATTTTATAAATCTTTCAAGACTAGCTTGGCACCCCATCTCGCGGAGGTATTTAACTGCTGTCTGCAAGAAGGTTCACTCTCTCCCTCCATGTGAAAGTCTGCTGTTATCCTGCTGTCAAAGGGTAAGGACCCTTCAATGATTGAGAACTGGGGCCCCATCAGTCTTCTCAATGTTGATAGAAAGATTCTGGCAAAGATTCTTTTCTGGCGCCTGGCGTGAGTCGCAGACACGCTGCTTTTTCGGTCGGCAGCACTGCTCGGTCCAGGGCAGGAGCACCTTCACAGAGGTGTTAGCTGTCCGGGAGGTTCTGGAGCGGTGCTGGGCTGAAGGCTGGGGAAAGTATTTGCTGACATTGGATCAGGCCAAGGTTTTTGATCGGGTTAGTCATGAGTACCTTTGGCATCTTCTTGACAGGTATGGCCTGGAGGGGGGGTTCATTGGCTGGCTCAAGACATTGTATAGAGAGGCGGAGAGCTTCATGCTGGTGAACGGTTGGATTGGGCAGCCCTTTGGGGTTGGCTCTGGGGTGCCCACTGAGTCCTCTGCTCTACGTCTTTGTGGTTGACCCCTTCGTAAGGAGGCTGGGCTGTGGAGCGTTGTGCAGGGTACCGGTGGGTGTTGCTGGTGAGCCACCCCTGAGGGTCATTGCCTACGCTGATGACGTTTCTGTCTTTGTCTCTGGGGCTGTGGAGGCGCAGGTGGTTGTCTCAGAGATAGAGCAGTATTCCGAGGCATCGGGGTCCAAAGATCAATCAGGACAAGTCTGAAGTCCTTTGGTTAGGTGTGGAGGGCGAGGGCTTTGTGCTCCCGGACGCTTTCCCTGTGCCTCAGCAGTCCGTCAAAGTATTAGGCATTGAATTTGGCCCTGCCGATTATGGCAAATCGAATTGGGAGGCCAGGCTGACCAATGCCGAAGTCAAGGTGAAATGCTGGAAGGGGTGGCGGCTCTCCTTGAGGGAAAGGGTTGATCTGATCAAAACTTACCTGATCCCCATATTTTTGTATGTCAGCACAGTTTGCATCTTGCCTGAGTCTCTTTATACGAGGATCTACAGTTGCTTTTTCCAGCTGTTATGGGGAAGCAGACTGAACCTTGTGAAGCGAGATGTGACTTACCTATCCAGGAGGAAGGGTGGCTTAGGTATGGTCAACCCGGTAGTCTTCTTCTCTCTGGTGTTTTTGAAGCACAATTTTGGTAACATGCTGGCAGAGATACCTCCTGCATGGGTAAACCTCTTCCGGAACTGGGTTTAGGCCTTTTCTGAGTTGCTGGGAGAGTGGTGGGCTAGTGAAAAGCCTAAGGGTTAAGCACGGTGAGCTCCCGACTTATGTTGCCCCGAGCCTGAAAATACTTAGGCGGTGGCGTGTGACGGCAGAGGATATTAAGTCCCTCCCTAGGAAGCTCCTGGGTGAGAGGATTGTGTCCGTTGTTTGTCATGCGCCGCTGGCCTTGAGGGATTGCCCGGGCCATATTATGCGGGAGGGCTTACGCTTATTAAATTCTGAGCGGATTCCCTTCAAGTTTAGGGACCAGGCCTGGCTCGGTTTTCACGGCAGACTCTTCGCGAGGGGAAACTTGAAGTACCTCTCTCTGGATGACCGCGGTTGTCCGAGAGAGGAGTGTCAGGGGTGAAGTGGAAACTATAGACCACTTGCTGCTTCAGTGTCCCTTCAATGTTGAAGTCTACAAAGAGGTGGGGAGTGCTCTGGGTGTTCCTTTCTTGCACTGCATGTCTTATGCAGAGTGGGTATATGGAGCATTGCAAGATCGCCGGGGTTTTGATTTGGACACTCTTTATTTAGTTAGCCTATTTGTCCAGTATTTCACGTGGAATGCACGGTGCCAAGTGTCCATATGGAAGAAAGTCCTTCCTGTCCCGGAGGTGGTGCGCGCGGCATTCTTGGTGAGGTGGGGAAAGTTCGGGGTCTTGAGAGAGACAGGTGGCGGCGAGGGGTCTGGATAAAGGCGTGGAGGAATATCAGGCCTGTAGCTGCCGCCTGTTGATCTCTGGGTGTTGGTAAACTATCCTGTTTTCTTTCTCCTTCCACCCTTCCTTAGATTTTCAGAGATGATTTTTTTGAAGAAAGGCTACATGGACCCGAAGATCTATGTTCCTCAGTCTAAGTAATGTTGTTTTGTGTGATGTTTTGTACAGTGTTTGACTATAGGCCATGTAGGCTACATATGCTATTGTATTCGGCCATAAGTGCTTTCTTATTAGGCCGTAAAGGCCATATATGCAGATTTATTGGGCCATAAAGGCCACGTTTTGTTTTCTAGACCATAAAAGCCGTGAATGCAAATCTTTGTTTCCGGCTGTAAGGGCCTTGCCTACATACTGCTTCAGCCATAAGGACTCTAGTATGGCTTTGAAATGTTTACTTTTATGTTTGCACATGATGGAATGTGATGTTGTTATGTTATTTATTTATTTTTTATATACTTTTGTAGAAAATGTTTGTTGGTTGTGCGTTTTTCTAAAATAAAACAATATCTCCCACCATTATTGGCAAGTCCATTCCTGACAGTACCCCCCCCCTCAAGGAGCGGCCTCAGGACGCTCCAAACAGTCCTAGCTGGGCAAAATGTTCCACCGCCCGGGTCTGGTAACTGGCAGGATATCAAAGACTGGCACATCGGGCTGGACTCCGGGCAGCGGCACATCGGGCTGGACTCCGGGCAGCGGCACATCGGGCTGGACTCCGGGCAGCGGCACATCGGGCTGGACTCCGGGCAGAGGCACAGGGCCCCCAGGAGTGGCAGGCACAGGGCCCCCAGGCGGGGCGGCAGGCACCGGGCCCCCAGGCGGAGCGACAGACACCGGGCCCCCAGGCGGAGCGGCGGGCCCTCAGGTGGAGCAGCGGGCACCGGGCCCCCAGGAGGGGCAGCGGGCACCGGGCCCCCGGACGGGGCGGCAGGCATTGGGCCCCCAGGTGGAGCGGCGGGCCCCCAGGCGGAGCGGCGGGCGCCGGGCCCCCAGGCGGAGCGGCGAGCGCCGGGCCCCCAGGAGGGGCGGCGGGCGCCGGGCCCCCAGACGGAGTGGCGGGCGCCAGGCCCCCAGGCGGAGCGGCGGGTGCCAAACCCCCAGGAGGGGCGGCGGGCACCGGGTCATCAGGCACGACAGCGGGCATCGGGTCACCAGGCATCAGGTCATTTGGCTCGCCAGCGGGCACCGCGTCATCTGGCAAGGCAGTGGGCACCGAGTCACCAGGCACGACAGTGGGTTCCGAGTCAACTGGCATGACCGCGGGCGGGGCACTGGGTCAGACATTGGATCGTCTGGCTCGACAGCGGGCATCGGGTCATTTGGCTCAACAGAGGGCACCGCGTCATCTGGCAAGGCAGTGGGCACCGAGTCACCAGGCATGACAGTGGGCTCTGAGTCAATTGGCACGACAAAGGGCACCGGGTCATCAGGTACCGGATCGTCTGGCTCGACAGCAGGCACCGGGTCATCTAGCACTGGATCGTCTGGCTCGACAGCGGGCATCGGGTCACCAGGCATGACAGCGGGCACTGGGTCATCAGGCATTGGATCGTCTGGCTCGACAGCGGGCATCGGGTCACCAGGTATGACAGTGGGCACCAGGTCATCAGGTACCGGATCGTCTGGCTCGACAGCGGGCACTGGGTCATCAGGCGTGATAGGATCATCAGGCTGGATCAGTTCATCAGGCTGGGTACAGACATCAGGCTGGGTAGAGACATCAGGCTGAAGTGCGGGTGCCGAGGCACCAGGCTGAACCACGGAAGGCAGGTTCTCAGATAGCAGGCTCACCGGTTTGGATACTGGCAGGATGGTACTGGTTGGAAAGAATTTTCGCTTTTTTCTGGTTTTAACTACTGGAGCACTGCAAGTAAACGCAGGTCTGCAAACGAATGGAGCAGCTGAGGACAGAGGAGAGCTGGAGGATGGAACAGAGGAGGGAGCAGTTGCTACAGAGGACTTCTTTACAGGGTTAAAGAAAGGATAGGTGCAGCGAGTGGGAGCAGAGGACTGATATGTGGTAGTTAGCAGAGTATACTGGGCAGTCACTGGGGGTGCTGTCGGGGATGCAGGAAGAGTGCCTTTAGCGGAGGAATGACGTTGTTAGCTGACTGAGGCTGGGTGCAACAAGTCTGACCATGTCTGCAGTATGGGTTGAACAAAGCTCAGCTTACACAAAGCCTGTCTGGTCAAAGACTGCACTGCGTTTATACAATCCCTTAATACCTGTGGTGAACATGCAGCATAATGCTCCAAGAAGCAATCCACATCATCCTCTAATAACCATACCAGGGACTCTACCTGGTCTGCACTAAATGGTGGCAAAAAGTCATTCCTGCTTTCAGGGGTACCAGATGAAGCCAACTCTACACAAACCTGAATCAAAGGTTGCACCTCAGAGAACTCTGTGCCCTGATCTACTAGAACATGAGCGATCCATATACATTCTAGCAGTTGATCCGGGTATACTCTCTCAGAGTCTGATAAGCATATTCTCTGTCATCAAAAACCAGCAGCAAAAAATACACAACCTCATCAAGATCCATCCTTCCCAGCAACAAGCCAAGATGGCTTCCCTTGTGCAGCCACTTCTGGTCAGGATAGGCCTTGGTGTAATGTCAGGGCTCCAGGGTATGACCAGAGGTATGTGAACTGACGCAGGGAAACGCAGGCTTCAGATATGTTATAAACAATATAATTTATTAACACTAACAATACATAAACGCAGTGCAATACTAAAACATAACACAGTGCAAACGAACCAAACCAAACCACCCACAGATAACAATACATACAATGCAAGCGCTGTCAGGCAGGCCGGGTCAATAACAATCGGGCAGGTAGGAACAGGAGGAGCAGGCAGAGAGTAGTCAGGTCACGAGCCGGGTACAGCAACTAACGGGCAGGTAGGTACAGGGGGTCAGGCAGAGAATGGTCCGGGTCACAAGCCAGGGATCAAACAGGAGAAGTCAGCAGAGGTCCGGATCAGGCAGGGTCAGCAACGAATCAGTCAGACAGGAACAGGAATGCAGGTAACAAGATACAGGGGCCCATAGAAAAAACACACACTAAGGCACAGACTGCAGGTCTGGCCATCCCTTAAATACACCTGCAATCAGCCTCAGATGTTTTGGCTGATTGCAGGGTTGAGTCTCTGATTGCTGAGAGCACCCGCTGGCCAGCCCTGGTACTGCAGCCCACAAGGCAGGTGAGTCCCACCATTATTGGCAAGTCCATTCCTGACAGAGTGCCTCATTCATCCGCCAGACAAAACCCCCTCTTTCCTCTTTACCCCATCTTGACTTCATTGCAACAGGGGCATGATCCGACAGTGTACTTCCTCCAATTTGTACCAGTATATAATCTAATCTAGAGTAAGTCATGTACATGTGAAAAAAAGGTATAGTCTCTATCTTTCATATTCCTGATTCTCCATATATCAACTAATTGACTCTCATGTATCAGTTTCTTTAATAATCTCAGGGACCTGCTCTCCTCCCTCCTCACATGGGAAGTGGTATCCATCCGCGGGTCTATACAGACATTAAAGTCTCCAGCTATTATCATACAACCCTTTTTAAAATCCATCAATTTCTTCAATATACCTCTCAAGAATATCTCCGGTTTCTTATTTGGACAATATATGTTAGCTATTGTACACTCTATTCCCTGTAATTTACCCCTCAAAAACCTTTCCTCCAGATCCGTTATTCTCTTCTCCACCTCAAACCTTATATTCTTTGCGAAACCTATAGCAACCCCTTTCGCATAATACCATGTCGGAAAGTATCTAGTCTTCAGCCTAACCTTTGACTCCATCTCTAGATGTGTTTCCTGTAAAAATACCACAGAAGATGTTCTATGTTGTAGTTCTTTAAATAACCTGAATCTCTTCCCAGGACAATACAACCCCTTTACATTATAGGTTATAAATTGGATTTCTTCCATCTTACCCTACTCCTCTTAACTCCTTCTTCCTCCTACCATTCCTCTTTCTTATTTCTCTTGTCCCAGTAGTGTTACTACCCTACTACCCCTCCATCTCATTCTCCATAACCCCCTCCACCCCCTCTTCCCCCCCCCCATCCGTCTCCATTCCCCACCTCTTCCCCACCCCTCCCCCCCTCTCCCCTACCAGGCCTACTATTTGCCTTCTAATCATTTGTGGCCCTAATGCCACGTTTGATTTTTAATCTTGGGGTTGGGCTCTGTCCATGTGCGGCTCACCTTCTCTCCATTTCCCCCAATGTCCCCCTATCTATCATTTCTCTATTTCTTCTTCTAACTAGCTGCCATTCCTCTTTTCTCATAGCGCATATTATTATTATTATTATACAGTATTTATAAAGCGCCAATAGTTTGCTCAGCGCTGTACATTACAAAGGGGGACAGAACATGTGACAGAACAATACCAATACAATGCAAAACATGAGGGGATCGAGGGCCCTGCTCTTTCGAGCTTACAATCTAGGAGGGAGGGGATAGGGGCACAGGAGGAGATAACTGTGGGGGATGGAGTGGTAGGAAGAGTGGAGGAAGTTGGCAAGTTAGCAGGGGGTGGGGTAGGCTTCCCTGAAGAGATGGGTTTTCAGGATGCACCTAAAGGAGAGGAGAGTAGGTGATAATCTGATGGGTTGGGGAAGGGAGTTCCAGAGGATGGGTGACACCCTGGAGAAGTCCTGGAGGCGGGCATGGGAGGAGGAGACCAGGGAACTAGAGAGAAGGAGGTCTTGTGAGGAGCGGAGTGTGCGTGCTGGGCGGTACTTTGATATTAGGTCAGTGATGTAGTTCGGGGCAGTATGGTGGACGGCTTTGTACGTCAGTGTTAGGATTTTGAATTTGATCCGTTGCGCAATCGGAAGCCAGTGGAGGGATTGGCAGAGGGGGGTGGCGGAGATGGAGCGGTTGGAAAGGTGAATGAGTCTGGCAGCCGTATTCAGGATCGACTGAAGCGGGGATAGCCAGCGGCGAGGCAGGCCAGTGAGGAGGGAGTTGCAGTAGTCGAGTCGTGATATGATGAGGGAGTGGATGAGCTGTTTAGTGGTTTCTGGGGTTAGGAACGTGCGTATTTTGGCGATGTTGCGGAGGTGGAGTCTGCACGAGTTTGTTAAAGATTGGACTTGGGGCTGGGAGGATAGGTTGGAGTCCAGAATGACACCAAGTACTCTGGCCTGCGGGGCGGATTTGATGGTGGCGTTGTTGGATGTGATGGAGAAGTCAATGGGGGGTGGGGTCCGGGCTGGGGGGAAGACAAGAAACTTGGTTTTGGAGAGGTTCAATTTAAGGAAGTGGAGCGACATCCAGTCTGATATGTCGCTCAGTAGGTGTGTGATTCGGGCGGAGACCGAGGGGGTGAGGTGGGGGGTTGAGAGATAGATTTGTGTGTCGTCGGCATAGAGGTGGTAGTTGAAGCCGTGAGAGTGTATGAGTTGGCCAAGGGAGGAGGTGTAGATGAAGCAGAGAAGGGGCCCGAGGACAGAGCCTTGAGGGACCCCAACAGAGAGGGGGAGTGAGGGGGAGGTGGTAGCAGTATAGGTAACGCTGAAAGAGCGTTGTGACAAGTAGGATGAGAGCCAGGAGAGAGCAGAATCTCTGAGGCCGAGGGAGTGGTCGACTGTGTCGAAGGCCGCAGAGAGGTCGAGGAGTAGGAGCACTGAATAGTGGGCATTAGCTTTGGCGGTTAGCAGGTCGTTTGAGAGTTTGAGTAAGGCAGTTTCGGTGGAGTGTAGGGGACGGAAGCCGGACTGTGGGGGATCGAGGAGGTTGCTGTCGTTGAGGTGAGAGCATAGGCGGGTATAGACTAGGCGCTTGAGGAGTTTAGATGTAAATAGGAGCAGGGAGATGGGTCTGAGGTTGTTCGGGTCATTGGGGTCCAGGGAGGGCTTTTTAAGTATGGGGGTGATGTGTGCATGTTTCAGAGGGGAAGGGAAAGTGCCGGAGGAGAGGGAGAGATTGAAGATGTGGGTGAGGGAGCGTAGGATGGAGGGGGAGGGAGGTCGTAGGAGTTGTGAGGGGATAGGGTCGAGGGGGCAGGTGGTGAGGCGGGCATCAGAGAGGATGTTGGAGACTTCCTTGATGGTAGTAAGGTCAAAGGTGCGGAGTGTTGGGGGAGCTTCAGTATGAGGAATGCAGGGTGGGGTGGAAGTGGAGGTCAGAGCAGTGGTGGGGGCCGTGGGAGAGGGGTGATGAGGGGGTAGCTGGGTGATGGGGAACGGGGTTGGAGGGAGTTTGAGCAGCGACGAAGTCCCTGCGGGTTATGTCGAGGGGGGGAGGGGGGGGATGAGGGGGTAGCTGTGTGAGAGGGAACGGGTTGAGAGGGCGTGTGAGTTGCGGCGATGTCCTTGCGAATTGTGTCAATCTTGTTTTTGAAGTGATTGTAAATCTCAAGGGCGGTGAGTGAGGTGCTGGGTGGAGGTGGGGGTGGAGAGAGTAGAGAGTTGAAGGTGGAGAAGAGTCGGCGAGGATTGGAGGAAAGGGCCTTGAAGAGGGTGGTCAGGAAGTAGGCTTGTTTGGCTGCGTGGAGGGAGGAGGTGTAGGTGCGGAAGGCAGATTTGTAGCGGGTGAAGGCTTGTTGGGATTTGGTTTTGCGCCATAGTCGCTCCAGGGCACGACTGTGTCGTTTGAGGGTTTTGGTGTGATCAGTCTGCCAGGGCTGGAGCGGTCAGGGTCTGATGTTGCGTGTGGTTAAAGGCGCTAGTGAGTCAAGGGCTGTTGACAGCACGTTGTTGTAGGCAGTCATAGCCAAGTCTCCCCTTCTTCCTCCTCCCAACCTGGAATCTCTATTTTCTGAATATTAAGTTTATCAAAA